CTTCATCACCAGACTTATTAGCTTTCTATTAAATGAAATGCCACTTAAAAATCGTGTCCTTAATTACCTTTAATTACCTATCTCACTAAATGTCTCTTCTTTTATTTTCTCCCTCCAACAGGGGATAGAACATGTGAATCCCTTTCTAGCAGCTGTACTCCACTTTCACTAACCTTTGAAACTGTGGTTACGAAGTAGAAGTGGGTTTCATTACACCATGCGTTAGTAGGAACCCTTCTAGGTATAAATGGTAGAAAGTCAACTCAAACTGTTTTTTAAAAGTGGGAAGTGGTAGTGGTGGGAATTAATGGCTTATGTAACTGGATTTGATACTATAATGTGGCCACAAGGCCGAACTTCAGGAACCAAAGATTTACTCCCTTGCTGTTGGCAGCTACAGCACAGACTGTTTCAATGAAGACAGCCGTCTTGTCCAAGAGCATTTGGAGTCATCGTGGCTTCAGATCTCCCCACAGGGCTGTTGAGGGCTTACTGGGACCACACACTGATCATTCAACTTCCCCTTCTGTCCACTCCCGCTTTCTTATTTTTCCTTCCTTTCCATGGGTGTTTACCTGCAGAGGCACTCTCTAATAAAAGTCCTTCATGTTCATCTCCAGCCCCAAGAAACCCAGTCTTTTAAGAATAACAAAGATGGGGGCGCCTGGGTGGCTCAGTGGGTTAAAGCCTCTGCCTTCGGCTCAGGTCATGGTCTCAGGGTCCTGGGATCGAGCCCCACATTTGGCTCTCTGCTCAGCAGGGAGCCTGCTTCTCCCTCTCCTTCTGCCTGCCTCTCTGCCTGCCTGTGATCTCTCTCTCTCTCTCTCTCTCTGTCTGTCAAATAAATAAATAAAATCTTTAAAAAAAAAGAATAACAAAGATGTCCAAGTGTCTTGGGCAGATCAGACTGGAGGATTCAAACGACTCCTTCCTTAGGCCGAGAACTCTAAACAGCCTTCTTTGGATCCAGTGCCCACCCCTGGAACAAATACTGTGTTCAGGGAGGTAAAGTCCCCTCACGGGTCATCCTTAGGCAAAGAAAGTAGGGCCACATAACTCATAGAAGCATCCAGAGTGGGAGTATGGCAGTTCTTGAAAGTAGAGTATACGCAGCCGAGAAAAAAGGAACAGAAGTCAAGGTACCTGGGTGGCTCACTTGGTTAAACACTGAATTTTGGCTCAGGTCATGGTCTCAGGGTTCTGAGACCGAGCCCTGCCTCTGGCTCCACACTGGGCTGCTTAGGATTCTCTCTCTCTCTTTCTCTGTCTCCCTCTGCCCCTCCCCACCCTGTGCCCCGCCACCCCTGCCGCCCCCTCCCTGCACCTGTTCTTTCTCAAAAAACAAACAAACAAAAAAGGAATAGAAATCCATTTCTCCTATCACCAGGAACGAAACACATTGGGAATCTTGGTGTGGTAAAACACCTCCCTTTCTTCAGCAATTTCACACTTACTTCTGGGAATAAATTAAGAGCTTAATTTAATTTGAAAAATCAAGAAGGAATTATACTTGGGATGCACAGTCAGGGAATTTCCTGGAGACTTGGGTCTGCTTATCTCCTTTTTTTCTCAGCCAGAGGTGTCTAGGATTTCAGTCACATCCGAGGGTGTTACTCCTGACTGCCTACTGGGAGGGTGAGTACTGCCTTCTTTTCACCATAGTCTGGCTTGATACTAAGAGCTTAGGAAACAGTGGAAGCCAAAACGGCTGGGAGAAGATACAGGGGTTCAGTTTTCTTTATTCTTCAGGTCCAGTCAATCCCAGTCAACCATTCCCTGTTGCTTTTTATCAAACCCTCTGTCTTTCCAAGAGCGGTGCACATTAAAATTTGCTTGAACAGTGTTCTCAGAAGGGAAGGAACTTTCCATAAAAGAAAGCTTTTACTCCCCCCTCCCCCGCTTTTTTTTTTTTTTTGCAACTGATCTGTCTTCTTCCAGCTGTGAAACTGATTGAGGTCCTTAAGGCCCTCCAGAAATCTCTACTCGCAGCCCTGTGATTACTTTACAAAGGGGGAAAAAAGCGATGGGAGGGAATGGTTGATTACCCACGGAAAATATCCTTTCTCTTTTGCATTTTCTCTCAACTCATGGAGGGAGGGGAAGGGAGTTGGAAAACATTCAGGAAAGAGGTTTTTGTGAAACAAAGAGCATTATTTCTTAGCACATGTGCATTCATGGTCCTCTTGCCATGGCCTCCCCAGCAGAGCAGAGGCATCAGGAGGCCAAAGAGAAAATGTGGGAGACGCTTGAAGATTTCGATGAGATAAAGGAAGATGGAGCAGCAGGCTGGGGAAGAGAAGCGGTGGGGGGCAGTGGAGAGGAGGAGATTTTGGTAACTTTCACAGAGCTTGAAGGAATTGCAGTTTGCAGGACCCACCCCACCCCTGTGGAGGAGCCTGAGCGGGGCAGAGAGCGGGAGAGCAGATGTTTAAGCTGGTGTATCCCTCCCCTCCTTGCCTCACTTCTTTAATTACATAAGAAAATGAGTACATGCTTCAGTTACATTTTGTGTATCAGGCAAAGTCCAGCCAGGAAAAGAAGACTGCATTTTATTTTATTTATTTTAAAGATTTTATTTATTTATTTGAGAGAGAGTGTATGTGTGTATATATATACAAGCAGAGGGGAGGGGCAATGGGAGAGGGAGAAGCAGGCTCCCCGCTGAGCAGGGACGGGATGCGGGACTCAATCCCAGGACCCCAGGATCATGACCTGAGCCGAAGGCAGGTGCTTCCCCAGCTGAACCCCCAGGTGCCCCCAAAGTACTACATTTTTACACAGGTAATTTCATGCTAGGAATTTGATGCACGGATGATGGGAAAATGCAGAATCCCCACATGGGTGTGGAGGCAACACAAAGATGAACAACTACAGGAAGTGGTTACCACCGTGGGGGGACACCAAGAGGAGGTGGTATAACTCAAGCCCAGAAGGCAGGGCCATCTGGTAGGAGCCAGAACTCACGTTCTTTTTTTTTTTTTTTTAAGATTTTATTTATTCATTATTTGACAGAGAGAAACACAGAGGTGGGAACACAAGCAGGGGGAGTGGGAGAGGGAGAGGGAGAAGCAGGCTTCCTGCTGAGCAGGCAGCCCGATGCGGGGCTCGATCCCAGGACCCTGAGATCATGACCTGAGCTGAAGGCAGATGCTTAACGACTGAGCCACCCAGGCACCCCAAGAACTCATGTTCTAGAGGTAAAAGCTGGCAGAAGCTGGAGCCTTCGTGGAAATGCAGCCGCTTCAGAAATGCTACTTGAAGCAGAGAGCTGGGGGGAGAAACAAAGGGTTTCTCTCTTGCTCCTCGTCCTCCTGGTTGGCTGATCACACCAGAAGCCAGAGGGCCAAGGAGCCCGGAACATGCAGTTCTCCCTGAGATGGAGCAGCGCAAGGAAAGGGCGGGGAGTAGAGCTCAGCACAGAGGTGAATAACGGGCACATGTTTTCATTGTCTGTGTTTCTTCGAATTCACCTCTGTGTGGAACGGAACCATGAAGCCATCTGTCCTTTACGTGGGTTGCGCATGATCCAAGAGCAATGGAGAAGGTCACAGTTTAATACCCTTCCTAAAATATTTAAGTGCAAAATAATGTTACTTTACTAACTGTCCTAATTCTGTAGGCTGTCTCAAGTGGTTCATAAGTAAACAGCCACCAAAACGGTCCATGCTTCTCTTGCTGATTCTCTCATTCCCATTTGGCCCTGCTGTTTCTGCTTTTACCTCTTCATTAACTGGAGCTGTTGTACAACCGCCCTTGTGTAATTTGTCAGCGTTCATCTCATACTGGGGTTACCATCCTACCCTCCTCTATCTTTCATGTCCTGAAGACAGAGTAGTAGTCAGGAAAAAAAATGCTAAATCTGGCTTTTGGCCTCAACCACATCTGATGTACCTTTATATTGACCCTGTGTACATACCTAGTCTAGAGGATGTCATGTCTTCCTAGGAATCCTATGGTCATCCAAACATTTTGCTGTATTTGTTATATTTTTATTTCCTGTAGTTATATTTGGAGTGATTTTGGATGGGTTTGACACAGTTAAGCCTTTTTTTTTTTCTGGTATCTGCTTAGAAGTATAGCCAAAGTGCTTGGATTTCAAATCCCAGCTTTACTCTTTCCTAGTTGCATGACTGTGGCCAAGTCACTTAAGTGCTCTGTGTTTCAATTTCTTCATCTGTTAAGTGTAATCATAGTAATAGAAACTAGTTTAGGGGCTCCTGGCTGGCTCAGTCAGTAGACCATGTGACTCTTGATCTTGGGATTGTGAGTTCAAGCCCCACATTGGGTGTAGAGATTATTTACAAATAAAATCTTTATGAATCGCTAAATTCTACTCCAGAAACCAATATTGCACTGTGTGTTAACTAACAAATTTAAATAAAAAATCAAAAAATCTTCTAAAAAACTACTTTATAAGGGTTAAATTGTTAGAATCAAGTGAATTTACTTGTATACTAAATTTAATACATGTGTGTATGTGTTTACACAGACATATATATCAATTATTATGTAGCTATGTTTGTATATGTACGCATGTGTGTATATATGTGTATGCACACACGTGTCTTAGAAAACTAGCATGATGTAAGCATGCTATAAATATCAACCATCATCATTATTATTATTTTTCTCAACAAGACTGTAAAATGCTGCTCAGCCTGTCAAAAGATATTTATTTAATGACTTTTATCCAGTACGAAGTCATGGCTAGTTGAGTGACTTTTTCAAAGTGGCTACTTAAAAACTGATTAGTCAAAAAGTTAAGTCCATGTGTAAAATATATCCCATCATTGGTCTGTTGTCTCTCAGTTGTAGAAATTGGTTTCATTTCCTACTATGTTTAGTTATGACTGAATTATTATGGACCCTTTTTCCGCAGCTTTTTTGTGGTTTAAAGATTTAAAGTTCTCATGGTAACAAGATTTTCAGTTGACCAATGATTAGCTAATTTCTGATAATAGAAAAGGAAACTGATTGCCCCAGGCTGCTGTTTTCATTTCCTCATGGGAAGAAGAAGCAGAGTAAAGAAGAGAAGCAGACACAAGGCATTGAACCTCTGTCACCATGGGGAACTGGATTGAGAATGAAGGGCTCTCCATCTTTGTCGTCGTAAGTACCAATGAGAGAGAAATGATAAATTCTCAAACTTGTCTGGGTTCTCTGGGAAACTAAAAGAGGGCAACGTTTCTTGCTTGTTTGTTTGTTTTGCTTGTTTGTGAAATTGCACTGAAGCTGATGTACCATGTGAACATATGTCTATCTGTAAGCGGGACCGAGGGCAGCCTTCCAATCTTATTAATGAAAAGAATATATCTAGGGTCTCACTTCACCTACTTTATTTCTTGAGACTTTGGGGGTACTAAATCAGCCAGCATTTCACAGAGGGGGTAGAAGACATTTCATGCTAATGATCTCTGAGTCTAAGTTTTTTATCAATATTTACTCAGAGGCAAATTCACTACTTTTTATGTGCTTATACCATTTAAAAATGGGCAATCGTAATTTTACACCGTTTTCCAAATAACAGGTACAAGATCAGCTTGTGTATGGGAGATGGCCTTTATTTCAGTGATTACAGCAAAAATAATTGAATTTCTCAACTTTCTTTTTTAAAAAGTACCTTTTCTTCCTCTGAGGTAAACTTGAATTATTTATGAGGTTTATAAAAATTCAAGAGGAGGAAGTTGAAATAAACTAGACTCATATATACAGTGGATATATTATATATATTATATGTGACTATATAAATCAATCTAATCTATCTTGAGAAATAATTTTTGTAAGTAAAGATAGGGCTAATTTTCAAATAGACATGTTAATCTCTTTAGTTTTTTTTTTTTTTTTTACCATAACAAGGACCAACTATTATTTTAAGATGGCAGTCTCAGCAAAGCAATCACAGACAATTGGGAAAATAGAAATTTGATTTTTAAATAGCCTTTCCTAATAGCCAATGAAAGTATTGTACTGATGTTAAAAAGAACACTTGTCAGTGGAATTTGAAAGAATTTGTCATGAAGTAAATATTGAGTCTTTGATTTACAGACACAGAGAGGAAGGGGGGCACAAATAAAAGAAAACCAAGAAATATTGTGCATTAAAAAATTATGCCAAACCAACATGCTAATGCAATATAGAATTCTTCTGAGGACTCAGAGCTTTTAACTTGATTTCTTATCACCGTTTTGAAAACAGACTACTCCCATAGAAAACAAGTTCATATTATATTTTTGGCTCCTATCACAGTTTTCCCCAGGAGATGACCTCCTCCTAAATTGCACACTCATACGTTTGACAATAAAGACACAATCTGGAAAGCAAGAGTAAGAATGACGAGGTTAGGGAATGGAGAAGTTGTTTAAATAGCTTCTTCATAAAGAGATCATTCTCAGGCATCTACGGACCTTTAATGGCATTAAAGCACAGGTAAGAAAAGATCACTATGAAGCTGAAGGTTCGAGACTGAGCAGTGTCTCACTCAATGCAGTCAGTGCTTGGGATGAAATGAGCAGTCAAAAGGTAGGAGGGTCGCTTTAAAAAAAAAAATCCCATGCCCCTCACCCCCTCATTCATGTTCAATAGTCCCTCTTTGAAAAGTTAAGCAAAAGTTACTAAATAGAATTAAAGGCTTGACGTTTTAGCTGATGTGACTCCCACTAGCTGGGGTGGGGTGCTGTGGGCTGGAGGGAGGTGATGGCATCCCTGAGAGTAGAACACAGTGTCTTATGGGCACAGGGGACGACACAGTAACCTATTCCTTTCCCTTCTCTTTTCGAGAAGACTCACCCGCTATTCATTAAGAAGAAAAGAGGAATGAAACAACAGAGGTGAGGTAGATTGATAATAACCTGGCATCCTGGCCCATAGTAAAACCATCACAGGGAATGCCACAAGGTGGAAAGGTCACAATCACGAAGTGTAGGGGCACTGTTGGAGGAAGGAGCTGACTCGCAGATGGTCACACTCAGATGTATAACTACCTTTGGTGAAGGCTAGACTGGGGAAGTCCTGACCCTACTCTGACTCCAATCTTACGTGAAATCTACCCATTGAAATGTGGAAACGTCACACAAGTATTTCTCTTTTTGCAGCTGGTATGGCTGGGGATGAACATCTTCCTCTTCATCCGGTTCTACAGGTTTTATGACATTGAACCTCAGTACCATTATACTCGAAAACTTCTTGGGGTAGGTATGAGTTCCATCTCATGCAATATTGACTGGCTTACATTTCTAATCAAAGATTCTGGTTCATACTCCTCTCAACACTTTAAATAAATGTTCTCACCAACCCAGACGGCACCATTACCTCGCTCCCTCCACTGCTACCACCTGGGCAAGAGTCTTTAGGCCTTCCCGTGTGAGACAAACTAAAGTGTGTCAGAGAATCCCAGCGGCATCCATCCCCGCCCAAGAACTACTATGCCACTGTTTAGCTTAAAGAAGAAATCTAATGCCAACCCTGGAATGGCAGGCAGATTTGGTGAGATTGATCCAAGGGTGACACAGGTGGGACAAGTGAGACTTTCCATATTCTTTAAATCATCTGATTCCTGACAACTTTCGTGCATGGAGAGCCCTACGTCTTGTGACATGTTGTGAAATGACCTTCAGGAAATAAGCCTCTCCCTCCAGATGGAGCCTTTGAGGAACCTGCCCAAGGGTCACGTTCATTGACTAGGCCAGCAGAGTGAAGGCCCCCAACTTTCCTTGGGTCCATTAGCATTCTTGTTTTCCTTGAACTGCCAGGACTCTTCTTCACGACAAATGGCAACAATTACAATGACAGGTGGCCCCCACGGGATACCATTTTTTACATCATGCTGAAACCCTGAATTCATGACGTAACGCTAATTATACTATGTATTATATATCATGCGTATACACAATTATACTACATAATAATACTGTGCTGTTATAATTGTTGTTAGCTAATTCAGGCTGATACTGAGAAGGATGATTTCCCTTTGTTTTCCCCTCCAAAGTATGCAACTTCTTTAGGCGTCACAAAGAACAATTATAATGCCAAAGCATTACAGCAGACCAACCTAAGTTACTGCTGAAGTGAGTCTAAGAACTAAGAAAATCTTCTTTAGAAAGCCCCAGTTTCTATACTGAACTCTAACAAATGATACACATGTTTAAGTATTTAGGAGGAAGTGAACTGATATCTGCAATGCATCAAAAATAAGTTGTATTGACGGATGGCTAGAGGGATGGGCAGATGGATGGATAGCTCTGTGAGGGGGGATCCTGGGAGATGGGAAAACGGGTGTTCATTGTGAAAATACTTCAGATTCTCTTTACGTTTGAAAATTTTCGTAGTAAAATGTTGGGGTGGGAGAGAAGGGCCAGGTTAAAGCAAAGGATCCCAGCAGGCCCTCCAGGCAGACTCTTGGTTCTGAAGGACCTTCCTTCTCTGATAACTTGATGTCTCTGGTGGGCCTCATGCTGGGAACCCTGGAGGAGTGTTGGTGTGTGGGGGGGGTGTTCTGTGCTCACAGGAGTTACCTGCTTCCTATCCCACATCTTCCAGTTTGCGCTGCCATTGGCCAGGGCCCCTGCAGCCTGCCTGAATTTCAACTGCATGCTGATTCTGCTGCCAGTCTGTCGAAATCTGCTCTCCTTCCTCAGGGGTTCCAGCGCGGTAAGAGCAAACATTTACAAAGTTGTCGCTTCTCAAAATTTTCAAAGGCCATTACACTAAGTGTCCTTTCTGAGGAAAAGCAGACTAATGGTTTGTGAGGATTCCAACCTCTGTCCAGGGTATTTGCAAGCTGAACTATGCTTGATTCTCCATTTTATTTGTATATCAGTTGTTGATGGAGTTCCCTGGGACAATCATTTAACTTGGAACAGACATTTTAAAAAAAAAAAAACAATCAACCTACAGCTCAAGAAGACCCATAAAACACTTGTGCGTGCACACACACACACACACACACACACACGACATACGTAATATAATATATTATGGACTTTATGAGGCTGACATAGGCTTTGGGAATTAATCCTACAGCAGCATGTTTTTCAAAATTTTTAAGTCAGAGAAAATCTCTTCGTGGCTAACATCCCAAGCAGGTGGAATCAAGGAGTGATGAGTCACAGTATACGGAGGGTGACTAAGAGGTACTGAGTCCATGGAACTGAGGAGTTTGGTGCTTTCTAAATGTCCAGGGCGGTTTTTTTTTTTACCCTCATTTCAACAATTTGGTGAGCCCCTAAATGTACTATGTTAGAAGAAAGAAAATATTATGTAAGAAGAAACTTTGTGACCTATAAAATAGTATATGAATTTCTTTTTAATTTGATTTAACTTTTTATAATTTTAGAATTTCTTTTTAAAATAGGTCTCTTTTTCTTTTTTTTATTGTGTTATGTTAGTCACCAAATAGTACGTCATTAGTTTTTGATGTAGTGTTCCAAGATTGTTTACATATAACACCCAGTGCACATGAATTTCTTATTGCTGTTATCACACAAAGATGAGAAACAAGGCACTTAGAATCTACTTAATCTGTGTACTACAAAGCCAAATATGATGGGTTCCACAGAACATTAGAAATAAGGGGCTCTGGGGAATCAAAGAAGGGGGGATTAGGAATGAAGTTGGGGCAGGGAATGAAGAAAGGCTTCTTCGAAAATGTGGCATCAAATACGGGCATATAAGGATCAGACAAGCCACTAGGAGATATAAATGAGAAAGACATTTTACCTGGAGAAAATGGAATGGGCCAATGCAAAGAAAATAGTGAGGAAATTACATTCGTGAAAGCCCCATAGAAGCACGACACGTGGCTTCTCTTTGGATTTGTTTGCAGTTCCTGATCCCACCAAAGAGGGTAGCTTGGAAAAGCTAGGGATTGATGACTTGGTGAGACCCGTTCTACTGGATCATGAGTAACTACTATCCTCTGTTTTTCATCTTAATAAAATGTATGTGTTTTATATTAACCAGCTTTAAAAAATCTGTTTAGTGGAGATAATTTATAGAGGAGAGAAGTGAGCAATGTACTTTGATGGGGATGTAGGGATTGTAAAGGCCACGTGTCTGAACTAAGGCTGCAGAGGACAGCTGGAACTTTCCTGGTAAACTAGGACCTCAAATGTAGAGACCTGAGAAGTTAATACTTAATTTGGCAATTGTGGACTATTTGGGGGGAAGAAAAGTGATCTAAACTGTCAATATCAAGTAGAATTTGCCTTGAACTCTGCCTTATTTTTCCTAATCTTAGTAAATTTACTAGTTGATTTAACGGATATAGGATTAGTGGGATACAATTAACAGTATTTCCCCATCTAAGAAACCACAGAGGTAAAATTCCATTCAATTTCAAGTTTTAGCAGCGAGTCACCTCTTAAATCCAAGGCCTGGCATACTGTAGGCGCCCATTGAACATTTGCTGAATGAAGCTCATGTATTGTAGGTTTTGTTTTTAGGAAGGCACGATTCATTTTTTTGGTCTTCCCCCCTATGCCCTGTTTGAATACTTTCTATTTAGAGGAAGTAAACCCTGAGAAACAGGCAGCGTTTTCACCAGGAGGGCAGGTTAGGAAATCCTTGTTACCACCCAGGCCCAAATTTCACTGCTATTGAGCTGCCCTGCCTCGTGAAATGCACATGTTGTAATGGCCGCTTTCAGGCTTCCTGTGGCCCAGGAGGGAAGATCTTCACGAGCGTCTTCAAAGACAGGGACGAAATAAGGCTGCTTTTCAAATTGCAGAGATGCTCTGCTAATATGGAGAGATCTGTATGTAAGAGAATATATTTTATAAAATTAGGAGCAAGCCACATTCTTTTAGAGACCGGGAGTGTCCCTCCTTCCGGGTTTCCCAACCTGAAGTGTGAACTTGGCAAACGAAACTTCTTTTCTGATTGGGATTAAAATGAGTGACCATCCTGCGACCAGTGTTGGAACTCCTAATAGCGGCCCCCTACCGAGTCTTCGTAGAGCTCGCCTCATAGCAGCTGCATGTCAAGTCAGCGACACGGGGATGAAGTGAGATGGCAATGTTGGAATTTAAACCTGCTCTTTGTGTCCCGAGAGCCCATTCACTTTCCGATGTGCCGCCGAAACTCAAAACCGCCTTCGCGTCATATGACAGTCTTCAAAAGTCCGCCATATATGTGAATGTTGGAGCATGCTGAATAGCACAGACCAGAAATGACAAGGTTGTTGTCACTTCAAGGATTTGCCAGTAGGACGTCCCGCAGACTGCACAGTCACAGAACTTCCGTTCAGTTTCTAGTGGTCTTAACCAGTTAGACTTTGCTTTATAACCCTTCTGATTGTTTGAAGAAATAAAGCCCCAGTATTGGCCCACCCTGGGGAAGGTAAAGGCAAAGGCTCTCAGCCTGCTTTGTTGCATGGAATGGGGAATGATGGGGTTTAGTAATCCCTACCTTGCCATGTAGAAACTGGATTCTAATCGATTGGAGTCTCAGTCTTCAGATCAGAAAGAAAAAGGAAGGTGAGAGAGTCAGCTCTTATCTGTAACCTTATATATCTGACAGTCAGAGGCCGTCAGTGGGGCTCTGTATAACCACATGGTGTAGGGAAGTCTCTTGGACTTCCTGTTGCACGGGTTGGGTTTTGTTGTTGTTGTTGTTGTTGTTGTTTTTAGCTGAAAAGCAAGTGAGACAATGCAACTGTAAGAATGAATATAACATTCCAAAATATATTAATTGACTAAGCTGTCAGCCTCTGAATTGTCAGTCAACAAACATTTGTTGACTGCCATCTGTGTGCTAGGTACTGGTGACACATGGTGAGTAAAGAGTAAAACTCAAGGAGCTTAGAGTTTTATGGAAGGGATAGAGAAGAAACATGTGACTTCAAAGCTATCAACAGTGCTATACAAGTAAACTGAGGTTCTTACTCATCACATACCCTACTGACACCAGGTTTGGACATCACTGGCAACTTCTTTGCCTGAGTTCTATAGACTCAAGGGTGGATTTTGTGATTTCCCCCAAATTGCTTATAAACATCAAATTTAAGTGAATTCGTGGCATGTGTGGCGAGACCAGGTGTACATAAAATAGAACTTTTAAGTTTCTGTAATGGTCATGTTACAGAAACTCATGTTATATCCCATTAAATATGCACTCCTTTTCGGTTCCATTTCTCACTTGGAAAAAAAAAAGTATTTTTTCAGTACACCTGGGTAGCTCAGTGGGTTGAGTGTCCAACTCTTGGTTTCAGCTCAGGTCATGATCCTGGGGTCCTCAGATGGAGCCCTACACTGGGCTCACTGCTCAGCTTCTCCCTCTACCTCTGACCTTTTCCCCACTCTCCCTCTCTCACTTTCTCAAATAAATAAAATCTTTATCTTCAAAAAATTTTTTTTTATCTTGCGGTTTGAACGCAGCATAGAAATTTGCTGAGATGATGCAATAATCTCCCTTATACTTGAATGTTAGCCTAGTGAGTTCAGGCTAGGCTCTAGGTGACAGTAAAAGAGAAACTTCCCTTTAGAAGTCAATGGCAAAGGAGTAGTTCAGTGAGGAAGCCATGGGACATCATGGCAACTTGCGTAATTAGGAGGTAGCTGGCAATAATTCAGAAGTGACTGAAAAGCATAAAAATGGTATCTGTGTGATTAGGAGGAACAAACAAGCCCTGGGTGGTCACAGGCAGCAAAGCTCTTCCTTCCCACTCCACCAACCACCTGCCTTACTCTCATTTTAGGAAATGGTGAGGAAATTGTATTTGGAAGCCCCATATAAACATGACTTGTGACTTCTCTTTGGATTTTTTTTTTTCGGCAGTGGGGGGCATCCTGAGCATATCATAGAGGGCGGCTGGGAAAAACTAAGGATGTGTGCCTCAGTGAGATCCATTCCAATGATCCATTAGTAACTAATGGCCTATATTTTTTCATTTTTTAAGATGTATGTGTTTCATATCAACTAGCTTTTAAAAAATTACCTATTATGATCAGAGTATTACAAATGGACCTTTTATTTCTTAAGCATTCAATTCAATTTCTGATGGTGGCATCAGAATCTGTTGTTCCGCATTTTTGATGATCTATATCGATGATGATAAAAGTAGAACTATGGAGACACTGTAGAGGCCACATTAAAACCATATTCTTTTCTTCAAATTCAGCATGCAGAAGCCAGTGTATTACCGCACCCCCACCAAAATTTTAAAACAGTTTGTCAGAAAGTAGAAAAGAAAACCATGTGGCAAGTATAGATATGTGGGTAAATACATCACTACAGATTTAGAATAATCATCTTAGGTTCTAGAACAGTGAAAATGTAATTCATTTAACCAAATAATTATCAAGGGACTTAAAAAAAGATTTATTTATTTATTTTGGAGAAAGAGAAAGAGAGAGAGAGGGCATGTAGAGGATGGTGGAGGGGCAGAGGGAGAGGGTGGGAGAAACTTAAGCAGACTCTGTACTGAGTGTGGAACCTGATGTGGGGCTTGATCTCACGACTCTGAGAGCAGGACCTGAGCCACACCAAGAGCCAGACATCTAACCGACTGTGCCAACTAGGTGCCCTAAGAGATATTTTTTTTGAAGCATATGATACATTGCTCTGCATATAGGAAGCTTAATTTCTAGCTGGGGAGCCAAGCCATACGAGCTGAAAAGTTAAATAATGATACCAAAAAACCCCCTCAAATATTTATTAAACACCTCTTAGTGAATCTAGGAAACAGACTTATGAGAGAAGAACTATGATAAATACATAGGTGAGGAAGTTAGAAACTGACCATATTGTAGGACTGAGATCCAACACATGTGTATCTGATGGCAAGTTATGCAGAACTTGTCCTCTGAACTTTAATTCAGTGCTCGCTTCAGCAGCACATATACTAAAATTGGAATGAACTTTAATTCAGTACTGATTTCTGATCCTACTGTTCCCATTCTCTCAGTCTTAAGACTCCAAATGTGTTCCATCACTCCAATAAGGACTGTATTAATTATATGTTGCTGTGTAAAAGATTGCCACAAATTCACTGGCTTAAAACAACCACAATTTATTAGCCAACAGTTCTGTCAGTGAGAAGTGCAGCCTCCTGCGTTTGGTTGGGTTCTCTGCTCAGCATGTTACAAGGCTGAAGTCAAGGTGCCAAGTGGGCTGAATTCTCAAATGGAAACCCCGGGTAAAAATCTTCCAAACTCATTCTTGTTGGCAAAATTCAGTTCCTTGCAGTTGTGGGACTGAGGTTCCTGTCTCCTTGCTGAGAGCCATTCAGGGCCCGCTCTCAGATCGTGAAAGTCTCTGTATTCCTTCCATCGGGCCTCCTCCATGTTCAAGCCAGCAACATTGCACCAAATACTTCTGGTGCCTTGAATCTCTGAGTTCTTCAGTCTCTGAGTTCTGGACCCAGATTTAAAGGGCCATGTGATTGGCTCAGGCCCACGCAGATAATTTTCTCTTAAGGTCGACTTGGAACTTTCATTACCTCTGCAAATTTCCTTTTGCCATGTAATGTAACAAACTCACAGGAGTGACATCCCATCGTATTCACAGTTCAGGTCCCAGCCCCACTCAAAGGGAAGATATTATATAATGTCATTGGGGATCATCTTTGAATTCTGCCTGCTACAAGGACTCCAAGAAACTATGGAGGAACCTAGCAATTGGGAAACAGGAAAAAGATATTTCTTTAAAATTGTAAAGAATATAAAGTAGTAAGACAATGTACAGCATTTGAAATAAACAGAAAAGATGACAAGGCTATATAAAAAACCAAAGACAATTTTTCACCAACAGAAATGTGAACTAAGTGATTTCAAACAGGAAACCCTTGTTTTGAGAGCCTGAGTCATGGCCCACCTTCAGCCATGGACACTTAGTTGTAGCTGATGCTGTTGGTTTTTCAGTCATGTTCCCTCCACACTTGTGGTTCTATAGTGCATGGGCTCGCTGCCTTCTGCTAGCCCCACTCGTTCTCTGCCTGAGGATTTTCTTTTGGCCCTTTCCTGGGGCAAGCCTGAAAGGCCCGGGAATCTACGCCCTGGCACCAGCCCTTGGCCTGTGACGGTTGGAAGTCGAGGGATGAATTCCTAAACTTTCTAATGCCTTGGGTTAAAAAAAAAAAAAAGAAGAAGAAAGAAAGAAAGAAAAGAAAAAGAAAAAAGAAAAGAAAACCTCTGGAGCATTTTCTATAGCTCTCAGAATTCTCTAATCAAAGAGACCATGGTATGATATGATATATGATATGGTAGGATATATGGCAGTGGTAGCTGATCTGATAATATGCCCTTCTTTGGCTGTATTGTCTTCCCAGTGTCACTTCCCCTGACCTTGTTTTCTGTGATCACCTTGCAGCTGAGTACTTAAAGTCTTGTTTCGGGTTTTTTTTTAGACTTGTAAAGTAATAGTGACTATATCATTGCATCTGGTTTGGTGGAAAAGGGTGTGAACCTTAAAGACAAAGAGACTTGCATCCCAGCCAATGTAAGATTTAACTTTAATTTTTTTAATCTTAAAATGAGGACAATCATTCTTATCTCGTTGCCACTGAATGAGATAATGATTATGGGTAAACTGCCTGGCTCACAGAAAGCATTCAGTGAAGCCTAATTCTTTCTTCCTTTCTCTGGAATCCTGTGTCTTCCTCCCTAGTAGTATTGCTGTGGTCCCGGGAATCTGCCCTCATGGTGCCATGCTCTCTGTAGATGTAGCTAACTGAGAGATAGTGGAGTAAGCACAATTTCCCACACATTACCTTTTTTTCTATAAAAATTACATTTTCATAAAAATTTTTATAAAATTTTTATAATTAAAATTTTAAAATTTTATAAAATTATAAAATTTATAAAATTAATTTTTTAATAAAAATTTAAAATTTTTATTTTAAAATTTTAAATTTTTATTTAAAATTTTATTAAAAAATTACATTTTTTTCTATAAAATCAGAACATTTTATTAAAAATAACTAAGCCACCAGGCCCAGGGTGGCTCAGTCGGTTAAGTGTCTGACTTCTGATTTCAACCCAGGTCTCCATCTCAGGGTCATGAGTTCAAGCCCCATAGTGGGCTTCATGCTGGCCATGGAGCCTACTTAAAAAAAATAATAAGTCAAATATTAAACAACTCTAGATTAAATTTAATATTTTTAGAACCCGATATACTTAGATTACTTATACTAAGTACTTATACTAAGATTTTTTTTCTTTTGTTTTGCACTTGGCTCTCCTTAACAATTCTCTGTATCTCTATGGCAGTACATTTAGACTTGGGAACAAAGCAGCCAAAGCAAGCATTTGACCAGTTTTCAGGAGGACAAAGTTTGGATTCAATCATAAGGCAAAGTTTGTTTTTTTCTACTTTGGACATTGAACTGAATCAAGATTCAAATCCACATCCTCTAACACGTATCAGAAGGACAGTCACACTTGAGTACTGACCAAAATAGTATTTTTAGTGTCAAGGTAATCATACAAGTTATGAAATATCAGAATATTGATACTCTGGCATCTGATAGATTTAAATCCCAACTCTGCCACTTATTAACTATGTGACCTAAGGCTACCTCCCCACAGGTTTTTCCCTAACCTGTTATACAGTAATAATAATGGTTCCTCCCTGCTAGGACTGATGCAAAAATGAAGAGTCAGAATGCACATAAAACATTTAAAACAGCTCCTTGCACAAGCTCTTTGTAAATACTACTTATTGTTCTTTTTGCTATTAATATTTGGTTAATGATATCTCCTTGCGATGTTGTCTCTGTCAACAGACGTGGGTGGGTATTTTTTTTTCCTCCCACAGTGTATGTCTTCGAAGGGTGTTGTTCTAAAACTACTCACTTATTCTAGAGCTGTTCACTAGTCTGTGTCCCCCTTAGACTTTCAGGGTCATGTGAAATGCATACACCTTTCCTATGATGCCGCCGGTATTCCAGGGAGAGCTAACTCTTGAATCTCTCTCCTAACTAACACTTAACTTACTGGTTGACACCTTCACAAGGATGAGCCTTTGCTACCTGCCAGTGAGGAACTGTGGGGGAGCTCACAAACATCTGGGGTGGGAAAAAGTGATGGAGAAGACACAGAGACAGAGAGTTCCTCTTTCAGGTCCAGGTAAAATATGCAGAGACTGGTTGTAGGGACCTAACACTTATTGTTCAACGAACTTCTCCAGGCTTCTGGGGCTGAGCTGGTTGTGCTTGTGTGTGGTTGCTCAGGAACCTGTCAGGTAGGCTACTCACTGGCTGGTTGACCTTGGGAAGATGACTACAGGTATCTGAGCCTCTGTTTTCTCATCTATCAAAGGCGTAGAATGACAGTGTTTTCAGGGTGGTTATGACAATTAAGTGAGATGATCTGTATCTACTGTCTGGCACACAGAAAACCTTCTTGATAACAATTACTGTTTTGTTCTTTTCCCCTTAATCCAAAGTGCTGTTCCACAAGAATTCGAAGACAACTGGACAGGAACCTCACTTTCCATAAAATGGTGGCGTGGATGATTGCACTTCACACTGGTGAGCTGATTAAGATATGTGAGATTGCAAAGAAAACTTGAAACCAGACAGTTCCCTCTTCTCCTAGATACCTTTTATTTTAGAAGAGGTCAGCCTTTTTAGGTAGATCAGGTGGTGATTGGCGATGTTTTTTTTTTTTTTTTTAATTTTTTAACTGAAGTATACTTAACATACAGCATCCTGTTTGTTTCGGGTGTATGACATAGTGATTTGACAATGACATATGTTATAAAATGCTCACCACGATACACAGAGTTATTGTCTGCCACCACACAAAATTAGTACACTATTATTGACGACATTCTCTGTGCTGTACTTTACCCCCCTGTGAGTTATTTGTTTTATAACTGGAAGTTTATATCTCTTAATCTTCTTCACCTATTTTGCCCATCCCCTCACTCCCAACCCCTCTGGCAACCACCTGTTTGCTGCTGTATTTATAAGTCTGTTTCTGGTTCATTTGGTTTGGTTGGTTTGGTTTTTAGATTCTACATATAAGTGAAACCATACGGTATTTGTCTTTCTTTGTCTGATTTATTTCACATAGCATAATACCCTCTAGGTCCATCCATGTTGTTGCAAATGGCAAGGTTTTCATTCTTTTTTATGGCTGAGTATAATATATATATATATATATATATATATTTTATCCATTCACCTATAGATGGACACTTAGGTTGCTTCCATATCTTGGCTATTGTAAATAATGCTGCTATAAACATGGGGGTGCATATATATTTTTTTCAAATTAGTGTTTTCATTTTCTTTGGGTATAATTACTGGATTATATGGTATTTCTTTTTTTAGTTTTTTTGAGGCAACTCCGTAGTGTTTTCCATGGTGGCTGCACCAATTTACATTTCCACCAGAATGAATTCTGTTAAAAAATATTCACCACTCTTTCTTCCATTGCCATATTAGGATTCATTCCTTCAACTCTTTTTTTAAAGGATTTTATTTATTTATTTGACACAGAGAGAGAAAGAGAGAACAAGAAGGGGGAGCAGCAGAGGGAGAGGGAGAAGCAGGCTCCCCGCAGAGCAGGAGCCTGTTATGGAACTCAATCCCAGGACCCCGGGATCATGACCTGAGCCAAAGGCAGACACTTAACCGACTGAGCCACCCAGGCACCCTATTCTTTCAAGTCTTAAAACTTTTTTATCTTGGGGTCTTCGGACAAAATCCCAGTGTCCTCACCCTTCCCCATGCTTTTTAATATAAAAAGAAGTCCACAACGGAGAGCTTTTATTTATCCATTAACAAAAATACTAGGGTTGAACATGTAGATTTGCGGATTCCTTGCACTAACCCTATGGGGGCCACAACCCATAAGCTGAGAAGATATCTTATCTTAAGGGTAAGATCGCCCTTATCAGCCAAGAGTCTCCTTTATTATTATTGTTATTATATATCTACTAGGTATACATATGTATATATGTATTCTTTATTATGTGTTGTTATTATAATTACTAAAGTGGCAGTGTTGGCAGAAGGGATGTATTTGGGACCCTAATCAGATCTTCACTAATTCACTTAACAAATAAGTGATGTGCTGGGCAATTGGCAGTGATGAACAAAAGAGACTTTTACTCTGCCCTTAAAGAGTTTCCCCATAATTTGAGTAAAATAGGTTTACATTGCAAGTGTTTACCTGGGTTTCTCTTCTATTAGTAGATCATGCAGGCTTTCTGAGCTGTGGTGAATAAGATGGTTCAAAAGCAAAATGCATGATAAAATCTTATTAGAAAGCAACATAGCGTAATGGTGAGGAGCAAAAATTTGAGTACCAGATTGCTCAGATTAGATTCTTAATTCTGCTGCTTCCTAGCTTGGTGATCTTGGGCGGGATATTAAAGCAATCTATGCTCTGGTTTCCTCATCTGAAAGATGAGATGGTACTAACAGTACCTACATCATTGCCTCCACATAAGGATTAAGAAATTATAAAGCACTTATAACAGTTCTTGGCACCCAGGAAGTTGTATGTAAGTGCTTGTTAAGTAAGGAATGCAATTTTCAAGAAGATATTCGCTCTTGTGGCCATTGGTTTATATCAGTTCAATAAAATGTTATTGTCTCTCTGGAGTAATGTCAGAATCAGGTGAATGGGCCAGCCAAAGGCATACATTGCACGAGAGTCTTCTTGTTTGAGCATAAACATATCAGGGGGAGAGAGACAATGAGAGCACACCTAAATATCCTCAGAGACCACGGTTATTTTGTAGAATCTCAGAATTTGATTGGATCTTTAGGATAGTGTCGTTTAACATCTTCATTTTACAAATGAGGAAACCAAGACCAGAGAGGTCAAGTGATTTGCATATGATCACACAACTAGAGAATAGCTTATCCACTAGAGTTCTAGTCTTGCCTGTCTGGCCTGGAGACCCAGTTCTTGTTTCTAAGTGTCCTGGACCATCCCTGTGTCTCCCTGTATCTTATCATAGTCAAGGGCTATAGCCAAAAACCCAGCTTACATGAAAATTGACTGCACCCTTCTCTTCTCTGTCCTCTTTAGCGATTCATACCATTGCCCATCTGTTTAATGTGGAGTGGTGTGTGAATGCCCGAGTCAACAAATCTGATAACTATTCAATAGCACTCTCTAGACTTGGAGATAAACCTGGTGAAACTTACCTCAATTTTGCTCGAGAGGAAATCCCGGTAAGTCTATTTCTGGATTCAGACTAGGCCGTTAAAACTGAGGACTAGATTTCAATGAGTGAAGAACTCTGCTTGGGCAGAGCACCAACAATGATAAAAGTTGACCATCAGTGGGCAAAGTTTGTAGTTTCTAAGAATGTGGGTACAGAGAAAATGTATTCCCCATTCCTGATCCCATGTGTAGAGGGTCTCTAGATGCTTTCCAGTTCCTTATGCTCACCTGTAGAATCTGGAGTAACTCAGGCTCACCCATGCCAAAAAAAAACAAGAACACATATCTAGTCAAACAAAGTTGAGTTTATTACTTACTGCAGCAAAAGAGGCCTCACACCATGAGAAAGTCTAGGACATTCTAGGAAGGTGCTCATGGAGGTTTGTTATAGGACATGGACTTCCGTCAGGTGGTTTTGGCGGGGTTTAAGGAAGCAAGGATTTGCTCTGCATCAGGTATGGTCAGGAATTGGGGGTCTTTCTAGGATTGGGTATCTTAGCAGCAGTCACTTGTGTTGTTGTCTTGGCTCTGACAAAGTTCCAGAGTGGTCTTATTTTTGTCCCACTCCCTCACAGTCACACACTGACCTGGTCTGATGTGGGTGTTCTATGAGATTCTTTTTTTTTTTTTTTTTTAAGATTTTTTTTATTTATTTGACAGGGACAGATCACAAGTAGGCAGAGAGGCAGGCAGAGAGAGAGAGAGGGAAGCAGGCTCCCCGCTGAGCAGAGAGCCCGATGCGGGACTCGATCCCAGGACCCTGAGATCATGACCCGAGCCAAAGGCAGCGGCTTAACCCACTGAGCCACCCAGGCGCCCCTCTATGAGATTCTTTATGTGAATTAGGGAACACTCTGGCCTCGGGGTTCATACCAGGCTAGCCACCAGCTGACAGCCGACAGAGGTGCTTTTCTTCCTTCTTGCCTACAATATCCGAGGGGTGGCCTATGTCTGCTGATTATCATCCCATGGGAAACACAGTGAACTGGGAGTAACTCCAAGGTCTTCCAGGCAAAGCCATTTGAGGTATCCACAGCAAGGACTGCTTCCCTTCCAGTGGTTGTTAGAGTTTCCTACACTCAGACGGAGAAGCTCTGAGTCATCTTCATGTGCCCAATGGCTTGGGAAGATGGCCAAGTCACATAATTATACACTGAATTCCAAACATGTTTCCTCATGTTTAGAAAAGATGAGAAAAAAATGTCCCTTAATGTTGCAGAAATAATTCTCCTCAGACCAAGATGGAAACAACTTGCCTAAGAGAAAAAGAAATTCCTTTTCTATAACTTCTGGGATAATTTTTCTTTCATATTGTTCATTGTACAGTGATATAGAAGGAAGGCAACATGAGCATACTAGGTGAGCTGACGCTGTCATGCTCTGCCTGAATCTCTTTGGACCACTTGTACTATGTCTGTGCTCCCCCTACCTTTCCATGTGTTTTCACTTCCAATTGCTGATACCTGCCTTTCTTCCTCAGAGGACCACCCTGGGGCTACAGAAGTTCTTTGCCCCACAAGCTCAGAGATCTGGAACGGCCTGGATGGCTACCTCTTTGTGGGCAGCCATTAGCCAATACCTGTGGGGTGCAGGCCATGAAAGGCCAGCTTCCTTGCCTTGAGTCAGGATGAACTTTGAATCTACCTTCGCTAAAGACTTGGCCTGAGCTCACCCTATTGTTTGACTTCTTCCTCTTTCCTGTCCTGTTGCCCATCTTCTTACTAGTGTCTTTTGGAGCACACCTTTTTTTAAAAAAAATATTTAATTTATTTATTTGACAGACAGAGATCACAAGTAGGCAGAGAGGCAGGCAGAGAGAGAGGAGGAAGCAGGCTCCCCGCTGAGCAGAGAGCCCGATGCGGGGCTTGATCCCAGGACCCTGAGATCATGACCTGAGCTGAAGGCAGAGACTTTAACTCACTGAGCCACCCAGGCGCCCTGGAGCACACCTTTTTAAAATCACTTACTCAGGGTGCCTGGGTGGCTCAGTGGGTTAAGCCGCTGCCTTTGGCTCAGGTCATGATCTCAGGGTCCTGGGATCGAGTCCCGCGTCGGGCTCTCTGCTCGGCAGGGAGCCTGCTTCCCTCTCTCTCTCTGCCTGCCTCTCTGTCTACTTGTGATCTCTGTCTGTCAAATAAATAAATAAAATCTTTAAAAATAAAACAAAATAAAATCACTTACTCATGAATCCTCATCTCAAGGTCTGTCTGCTTCAGGGGAACCCAGCCTAAGATGGGGGGCATGTCCAGAATACATTTGCCCACTAAGCACTGTGGCCCTTTCCAAACCAAAGGGAGAAAGAGCCTCAGACTCTTTTAGGACATCTTACAGTTGGCTCCCTTAGAACTATTTGTTCAATACTCCCTTAGAACTATTTCAGCCTATCAGTTAGTACTTCCTATGACACCTCGACCACATAAGACGGTTTTAAATTGAGAAATATCTATTCCAAATCTATTTCACTCTGTGAAGGATGGTTAGGAGTATTGAAAGGGAGGAATGAAAATACCTATCTGCCTATACACCAGACACTTTATAAATAAGTAGTCTTGTATTTGAGAGCCTTTGGATAATGTGTGTGTGTGTGTGTGTGTGTGTGTTTGTATTTTGCAGAATCCTGAGGGAGGCCTGTATGTGGCTGTGACCCGCGTGGCCGGCATCACTGGTATCGTGATCACCCTGTGCCTCATACTAATTATCACCTCCTCTGCCAAAACCATCCGGAGGTCTTACTTTGAAGTGTTTTGGTACACGCACCATCTTTTTGTGATCTTCTTCATTGGCCTCGCCATCCATGGAGCTGAGTGAGTGTTTAAATCCTTTAGTTTCTAGGTGTGATGCTGTCAGAGGCACCGTGACCTAGTCTGTGTGTGGCGAGTCTGTCTGCTGAGGGAATATGAGGGGACACCAGAGGTCAGTTGGACAGAGACCACTCAGCAGCATTTCAGTTTCTTGCACCCGATGAATAGCTATTATTTCTGCGGTAATTTAACAATAGCTATTATTAAGGCAGTTCATTCTAACAAGCTTGAAAAATGCACCAATGTTTGAGTACCTCTGCAAGGGTGTGAAACACGTTAAGGGTGCTGGAGGGGCCTTGGATGTCTGCAGTGATACTCTTATGGCTCAATCTCTACTAAATTAGACAAACTCCCAAACTAGAGGGGCACCTGATTAACCAGGTGACAGGGTTTGCTGTAGTTCAGTGAGCTTCGATTCAAGCTGGACATGTATTGATTACCTACGGTGCATGAGGACTGCTCTCTGGCATGGTGGGCAATACTAGAAGGAAACATACACGGTTATTGCCTTCCAACATTCTAACACAATAAAGGTAAGAGCTCACTTCTATTGGGCACTCATTCTAGAGATACACTCACATCCCCATGTCCTGGGGTACTGGGGCCCAGGTGGTCTCAGGCCAGTGGTGACAAATATCCTCATAGAGAGTCACAGTGCCTGCACGTGTGGTTGGCACAGTAGGTCTTATGAGGAATCCCATTTTAACCCACTGAGCCACCCAGGCGCCCAGAGGAATCCCATTTTATACCGGGTTTCCTTTTTATGCTGTTTCACAGCAGCTGATTCTCCTACCTGCACACAAAAGCAGGCCTGGGGAAGTCCCCTGGTGGGTTTGGGGCTCCACTTAACTAAGCATCAGGACAGCACATGCTCAAGGCTCAGTGACTCTCCTGGGAGCCAAGTTGGCCTGGAGGTGCCTAAGACCTAAGTGTGAAAAGGGAAAGGGTGGGAAGAAGCAGCATCGGGCAATTACTCATATGCATTCTTGACCGACTTGCTGACTCTGACCCCTGATCAACCCTTTGTAAGCGCTGAAAAATCTGTGTAGACAAAGAACTCTGATCTCTCTTAAAGCAAATGAGTATCTTTAAATGGGATTTGGTCATAACCCAGCTGTTTCAGAGAATCCAGACACAAAAAATGAGTCTCTTCCCCTCCCTAGCTTAGTAATCCCCCCACTTTATGTCTGTATAGATTCACAACGACGCATTTTCCTTTGGAGCAGGCGAGGATGTGAACTTGCCCCACTCGGCATCTGAAGAGAATCTGCCACCTACTCTGGCTGGCTGACTGCTCACAGTCTCATGGCCAAGGCAGCAGCTGAACTGGGATTAAAATCCAGGTTTTCTGACTTCTGGTCCTGGCGCAGAGAAGAGGGGAGAATCCAATTTGTTTTTTCTCACTTACTCCCCATGTGAACTTGGCCCTCAGGAATTTTGACAATTATCATTTGTGGGACTCTTACTTTGTGCTGGCATATTTTACACATCAGGTCAATTGATTACTAAAATACATGTTTAGTTAGGTATTACTAGACCGATTTTACAACTGAAGAAACTGAGGCACAGAAGAAGTTAAATAACTTGCCCAAGGCCACCAAACTATCAAGGAGTGGACCTGGGATTTGAAACCAAGGCTGTCTGACGGGCCCAAAATTGTTTTCTCCAAATCATTCTGCTTTTCTGTTACAATTCACTTTCTGTTACCAGTTTTTCTAAGCCTCGGCGTTCTCGTATGTCAAGTGGGGGTGCCAGTACTTACCATTCAGGCTTGTTATGGGGGTACAACTGAGATAATTTGTGTAGAGTAACTTTCCTCCAGCCTGGCACATAATAGATGCTCAGTACATGGTAACTCTCGGCCCCGAGGCCTAAGGTAGAAAAGGATGGTTGACAGCCTTGGATTAAAACATTCACAGAATATACCACATGGCACACCACATTTTAGGTCCCCCATAGAGCTACTACAAAGGGGGCCTTCTGTGTCTCTTAGTATATTTTCTGAAGACCCTGCCGTTTACGTTCCTTGAGGTCAGGAATATGACTCACCTGACTTTGCGTCTGCTTTTCTCTGGTCCCACTAAACCCATATTGTCTTGTGTGTTAGCAGTTGCTCAGCTGAAATCTATGGAATGGAAATGACCAGGCTCTTAGTGCCTCTAAGGACGCACCATTAGTGTCGGTAACTGTGAGAATGTCTGAGTCTCTGCAAAGTCTCCTTAAATTGATTTCAACACTTTCAGTTTCATTGAGACAATTTCGGAACATCAGATGAAGTGCTTGGATTAAGCCTCAGAGCTACTGTGTGTGATGGTCAACCACACAGGGGCGCCTGTCCATGGCATGTAAAATTCGCCTGTGCTTTGCTGGCCAAGCTCTTTGCTTCTCGGACTGTCCTCACAGAGGGGACATCTCTTTGTAATTCCCGCAAAGGCACTGTATGGGCGAGTACTTGCTCTGTTAGATTTGCAATTTTCCTGTTTTGGTCTGTTTGTTTGTAAATGGAAATAATACTTGAAACAGAAGCACAAATGCTCCCTTTAAGAAAACAAGTATCGATGATCCAAAACTTACGTATTCTTTGTGCCATTGTACTAATGTTTTTTCTATTGCTGAAGAAGACGTATTTTCTTTCCCTTCCTCAAATCTACTCAGAAGGGTCAATGAGATATTACTGTTAAGTAGGAAGTACAGGATCCATTCTAGAATACTTGAAATATGCCCAGATTCTCAAAAAACGAAGAACTTAGTTTCTTGCTACTAAATGGTCTGGACTTACATTTCCTCCCCAGGCGAATTGTTCGCCAGCAAACCCAAGAGAGTTTAGACAAAGACAACCCTGAAAAGTGTGACAAAGACCCCTCAGAATGGGGAAAACCAGGAAAATGTGCAATCCCACAGTTCGCTGGGAACCCTCCTATGGTATGTATAGTTCATTGTTACAATTATAATTTCTTTACCAATAATCTTCCAACTGTGTATCAGAAATATGTACATATGTCATAGAGCTGTCTGTTACGAATGTGACGGAACTGTTAGAATGTTATAAGTATCTACTTTTTTTCTCCTATACTTATTGTCTAGAATTATTTCTTGAAAGGTAAGGATTGCATTGGTCTATTACGAACAACCTGATATAAAACTTGGAAAAGCATTGTTTTTGGAAGTGCTGTTGGGGGTTCAAGAAATTCCATCTCTTCTCTTCTGGATGTGAGGGCCACAGTAATACTAGATAATGATTTCCAGAGGGATTCCGTTCTGAGCTGAGTTGGATAGCTCAGATAATCACTCATAAGGAGCTTAGGGCCTTTTCAGATACCACGAAGTAAGACTTTCTGGACAGCTTTCAAAGCTGGGAAGGAAACTGATGAAGTAACACATAGGGCTGCCTTTAAGCATCAGGGGGCCATGTCTGCACCACATAAAGGACACTGGACAGCCAGTTATACCAACACAAGAGTATGGCAAGGATGACCAAGGGAAAACATGGTAGAATATTCACTTTCCGCTGGGCGCTCCTATTGCGTGCTCTGCAAAGTTTTATGTATTCTCAATATCTTCTCTCCGTTGAGAAGCGGGCCCTGTGTTCTTCATTTATTTTCCTCCATTGACAAGCAGTGTACCTTATTGGTTACCATGCCAACCACTGGTATAAAGCTAGGCAAAAATCAACGTTGGTACAGGGCTTCCGAACAGGATTCTTCTTTTTTTTTTTTTTTTTTTTAAGCACAGTATAATGTAAAGGCAAAAGTCCTACCCCATTTTCTCCTTTCTTTTTTCCTACTCTCTTAACATAGGAATTTTCTTCTTCTAAGACACAGTCTGCTGTCCAGGGACTTAATATCTTTAAGCATCCTTGCTCATTAATGAAAGCAATCAGATGTATCAACAAACTGCTCCCGGTACATGCGCACATCGATGGAAAGGGTAGAAAAGGAACTGTATTGCAGGTCCTCTTATGGGTTAAGGGAAGGCACACTTCCTTGAAGACAACTGGAATCAGGGCACTTAACAGGCTTCTACCTCAAAGGAGCTTCTGGGTTTCTGCGAGTAGAGGCGATGTCCAACACCTCATTCCATTCGATGGAGCACTGCTGCAGTGCCCAGGAAATAGATGGGTGGTGTCAGGCTCTTTTGGAAACCTGTGCCATGAAAACTATTCAGCAGAATATATCTGACTTTCAGGGCATATAGTCTTTAATTTTGGTGGGAGGTGGGGACATTCAGGTGCTCTCAACTTCCAATCTAAAGTTACCTCGAAACATATAATAGAAAGATCATAAGTGAGACTGTAGGAAGCCCTTTGTGATTTCTTTTTCTTTCTTGGAATCCATTCTGAAATGCCATCTTTTAACCCACTGAGCCACCCAGGTGCCCCCTGAAATGCCATCTTTTAAATGATATCACCTCCTAAAGCTCTTTACTACTTTAGGTATTAAACTGGGAACCTAACTGACGGAGTCCCAGGATGGATCTGTTTACCCTAAAGGTTTTCATATAGCCAGTAATACTATAGGGTAATTCCAGTGTGGTGAAGCATTGAAGATTCTGACAAAAGAGGAATCTAAAGAAATCTGAAAATCTTTGGCCTTGTCCCTGTTCAGCAGGTGCATTGCATAGCTCCCAGAACTCACGAGGATGTTGGAGAAACAGCTAAATTCTTGCATGAAATTTCTTATCTTGCAAAAGATTAAGCTTTGACTACACGGTTGAGAGAAAGCAACTCCAATGTTGCATTAAAAAATATGGTGTTGTTGAAATGCTATCCTTAAGAGAAATGGTAATTCTGAAACTAATCTTGTTCTGCTGTAGGGTTACTGCAACAGCTGTTGCAACACCAGGAGGAAATCCCATTCTTGTGGGCAGTTCCTCTTGGGAAAGTTTTATACTGTAGATAAAGTTCCCCAATGTGGCCAAGGACAATGCTCATTTCTATTGGCTTAAGATTTTATTTTAACTTTCGATATTTTTCGTGCATTCTGTTGTATAAGAAATTTACCTATCAGATATCAGATATTTAAACAAGCTTACAAAGATTAACTTGACTTTGGAAATGTTTCATTCCCATTAATCTTTTATTAGTTCTTACCCCTTAATACATACCATTTTCATCTTTTGCTCTGATTACAGACGTGGAAATGGATAGTGGGTCCCATGTTTCTGTATCTCTGTGAGAGGCTGGTACGGTTTTGGCGATCTCAACAGAAGGTGGTCATCACCAAGGTATTGTCTGCTTTAAGAATAACTAATTGTATCTAACTATATCATGGACAAATCTACCCAAGTTGTCTGTACCATTGATCAGAGCTGTCTTTCACTTGGTTTCTTTTTTTTTTTTTTAATTTTATTTATTTATTTGACAGAGAGAGATCACAAGTAGATGGAGAAGCAGGCAGAGAGAGAGAGAGAGAGAGAGGGAAGCAGGCTCCCTGCTGAGCAGAGAGCCCGATGTGGGACTCGATCCCAGGACCCTGAGATCATGACCTGAGCCGAAGGCAGCTTAACCCACTGAGCTACCCAGGCGCCCCCGGTTTCTTTTGATTAAATGTAGAGCAGAGAGAAGAGCTATGGTTGAACTCAGCTGGTGTACTTAGCTTGATGATGGTTGAACCTTTTAACCGGGGGAAGTACAAATTAACATTTTCTGTTGAAAAATAAAGCCGACTGTTTTGTGTGCATGAATAAATCTCTCCCACTCTCTCAGCGTGTGTGTGTGCGCGCGCGCATGCGCGCATGGACATGTGGGTGTGCGTGTGTATGTAGAGAGAGAGAGAGAGGAGGAGCATCCAGTGGCATCCAGTGATGACGTGAGCAGGTAAGAGTGAAGAGGCAAAACACGTGAGTTCAAAAGGGTACACGCTGAGCCTTAAAACACTCAGACGCCAAAAGAACCAGGGAGCCAAAGGCAGGTCTGATTGAGGTGGAGGTAGTTTTCTTGGTCTCCCTTTACCTCCTTTCCTGTACTGTGAATGTCGTCACAGAATATCATGCGTTTTGTTTCTCTGCTGCTTCTCATTACTAACTAACTAAATATCCGACTCAATAAATAAAAATACAAACTCCTGGTTATAGTTTCAGGAAACAAGAGACAAAACCAGTTTCATCCAATAAAATTGAATTCAACTCAATACAGTTCAAAAAGTGTTTACTAAAAGCCTAGTATGGGTTATTCTTGCAAAACACATGAATTCTCCCTACCCTCCCTAGCTTTTCTTTCTTGGCATCTGTGCAAGGCCAGAGTAAAGTTAGTCCAGCTGGCACTGGAAATCATGAAATATAGGAAGCTATAGCAGTTCTCCTTTTATGATACTTATACTGTATGAAAAGAAAAAGCCCACAGAAGAGCAAAAAAAGGCTGCCACAAAATTTCCCTTACTAGGCTAGACCCGACTAAGCAGGCAAGTATTTCCCTTGAACATATTTTATTTTATTTTTTTTAAAGATTTTATTTATTTATTTGTTAGAGAGAGAGAGAGCACGAGCACAGGCAGAGTGGCAGGCAGAGGCAGAGGGAGAAGCAGGCTCCCCGCCAAGCAAGGAGCCCGATGTGGGACTCAATCCCAGGACACTGGGACCATGACCTGAGCCGAAGGCAGCCACTTAACCAACTGAGCCACCCAGGCGTCCCATCCCTCGAACATATTTTAAAAACGAATCTGTTTCCCTGTGGAGAAAATAGAAACTCGTTTTCTTCTCGTAAAAACAGATATTCATTTTCTTCTCAAAAAAAAAAAAGTAAAAAACAACTAAGAAACAAGGTGTCAGTTCTGCTAGTGTGTTTTATTTCGTTTAATCCCAGTTTCAGCTGGGGCAGCCAGAAGAATGTTCTCACCATACAAAATTGCAACATGGTAAACATCATTTTCAAAATAATTTTTGTCGTTTTTTATTTTTTGGCTTCAAATGAAGCTTTAAGATTCTTTATTTCGGTGATGAAAGGATGTTGGGTACTGCTTAATCATTTAAGATGGAGTGAAACCACAAGTTTTGTAAATGCTTGGCAATATTTATTGAAAGGATTTCCTGTCTTACCCCTCCTCACTCATAGAAAGAAAAGCTTGGCACCGTCAGTCAACACTTAGGGAGCTGCAATTTCGTTTCTATTGATTTTTCTTTGCCTTGATGCCCCTTGGTTTGTTTTTTAGTTGTACATAGAAAGTCCTCGGTATCTCAGAAATTGTCCCAGAAACGATGTATTGCTCTCTGTATTGTAATGACAGCTTTTCATTGGACTGCTTTTTTTTTTTTTTTAATTATTTACCACCTCACCAGCTGATGGGTGTTTGGACTGTTTCCAATTGTTTGCTGTTACAAACAAAGCTGTCATGAACCCTTGTATACACGGAGAATGGGGATGGCAATGGGTGGGTGGGAGCGGACTTTGGGATAGACCGATGATGTACTTCCCAGATAGGTAGAAATGTAAACACAATGCATGCAATCAGGCAGGTTCAAGGTATGACTCAGGACAAAGATGAGTACATTTGGCTGGGTTTGGGGGATGTTGCTATATTGCCAGCCAATAGGGTCCCCTTCTTCTATCCAGCTGCCAAGGCTCTCGATCGTCCCCTGGGGAGACAGGAAGGCTGAGCAGGCAGCCATCTCTTCTTCCTGTTTCTAGCACGTGCCTTGACTTTTTGGAGAAAAAATATCACAGTAGGCTGATATCTTAGGCCGGACTCCCTGGCAAAGACTTGGAGACAGAGAGTTGCAGACACAGGGTTGATGGAGGCGTGTTCTGAGGAGATGAACCTGTAAAAGGAAAGATGGCCAGGCTTGGGGAGGAAATGAATGGCCCTCAGTCAGTTGCAGCTGCAGCCTCAGTGGATCCTCCAGGGAGTGGGTTGGGAAAATGTCTGGGAGTTGGCAGGCCATGGGCTCCAGCTGAGGACAAACCAGGAGAGGTGAGATGCATGCACTCGAGGAAATGCCTCTTTGGGCTTGCAGAGGGGATGTGTGGGGGCATCTTAGCTCAGGCTTTTGTCCATATGGACACTGAAAAGACAAGTATTTGGGGGGAAATTGTAGTTTCCAGAGACATTTTTTTTAAGATTTTATTTATTTATTTGACAGAGAGAGATCACAAGTAGGCAGAGAGGCAGGCAGAGAGAGAGAGAGGAGGAAGCAGGCTCCCTGCTGAGCAGAGAGCCTGATTCGGGGCTCAATCCCAGGACCCTGAGACCATGACCTGAGCCAAAGGCAGAGGCTTAACCCACTGAGCCACCCAGGTGCCCCGCAGAGACATGTTTTGTTTTGTAGGTGGTCACTCACCCTTTCAAAACCATCGAGCTACAGATGAAGAAGAAGGGATTCAAGATGGAGGTGGGACAATACATTTTTGTCAAGTGCCCCAAGGTGTCCAGGCTGGAGTGGCACCCTTTCACACTGACCTCCGCCCCTGAGGAAGACTTCTTCAGCATCCATATTCGGATCGTTGGGGACTGGACGGAAGGACTTTTCAATGCTTGTGGCTGTGATAAGCAGGAGTTTCAGGATGCTTGGAAACTACCTAAGTAAGTGCAAAGAGCATATTTACAGAAGTGTACAAGTTCACGAAAACTGTCCCCCAATAGCTCCCCTTTTCCCATCTCTCACTACACTGTCTCCTGGGCATGAGCAAACACACAAGTTCTACAAATATAGGTAGCTATGTCAGTGTTCCCCATTTTATGTGTGGTGCGTTTAAGCATATACTTAGAAATCTTGTGTGAAATAGAAAATACTTGAATCAAATATTAGTAATGAGTGTTCCCAAATTCCTTTAAATATATAAGGGTCAAGGCCAAGGTATATTAACTTTTCTAACAAACGAAGTTATATTGTATCAAAGATATTCTTTTTTTTTTTTTTAAAGATAGAGGGAACACATCTCATCAGGATATGTTTGTTTTATTTATTTATTTTTAAAATTTTTATTTTTAGTTATTTGATAGAGAGAGTGCACAAGCAGGCAGAGTAGCAGGCAGAGTGAGAGGGAGAAGCAGGTTCCCCGATGAGCAAGGAGCCCGACATGGGGCTTGATCCTAGGAACCTGAGATGATGATCTGAGCTGAAGGCAGTTGCTTAACCAACTGAGCCACCCAGGTGCCCCATCAAGGATATTCTTAAAATTTAATTGACCTATGTTATTTGAGGGTAAATGCCATATATTATCCACTTTGCCCCCTTCTTCCCATGTGCCTGAGATGGTGCCGGGCACTTAGTAGATGCTCAAGAAAATCTTGTTGCTTGACTCAATGAATAGACAAATGAAAAGTGAAGATATTAAATTCACAAGATGCTATGACAGAAAATTTGCACTTTACTTCAGCATGCAATGTAAGCAGGAATTTCAACTGTGGGATGCCCTGGCAAGAGGTACAGGTGTGTGTGTATGTGTGTGTGGGGCGGTGGTAGGTGAAAGGGTGGAGAGATAAAAAAAAATGCCCCTGAGAGTTACCAAATGTTTTCAGTTAGCTAAAACTTCCTCTTCTTACTTCGAACCACAATGTTGACACCAAGTTGAAAGCCATTTCATAGAAGAGTGTGCCCTGTAGATACATTGTCCCAGTTTGGTGTGACATAAGCTGTGCCCCATCCTACTCTGCAGTGCGAGGTGACCCTCTAACCATCTCCTCACACGCTTCCCTGCAGGATAGCTGTGGACGGGCCCTTCGGCACAGCCAGTGAAGATGTGTTCAGTTATGAGGTGGTGATGTTAGTGGGAGCAGGGATTGGGGTCACACCCTTTGCATCCATTCTCAAGTCTGTCTGGTACAAATACTGCAACAACGCCACCAATCTGAGACTCAAAAAGGTGAGTCCCTTCGTTTTTTTCGGAGGGCTGGGGGCAATCCTCCCACTCGGCCCAGCAAAGTGGGAGAGAGCCTTCCGGGCAGAGGCTGGCTGGAGACCAAAGGAAGTGAAGACAAGTTCCGGGTGGTTCCAGAGAGAGAGAGACTTCTCATAAAAGGGCTGTTTGATAAGTCAAATGTGCTTATAAATAAGCAGATCTATTATTGCAAGTAATATACTGCACTTGGAGAGCATTAGAAGAAATTGGGAAGAAAGGTAGTGGGGACGGAAAGTGTTAGCAACCCTAATGCAGTAGCTACCCTTTTTGTGGATTCTCGTCCAATATTTTCTCACGTGTTTACATACTCTTGGAAAGTTGTAAATATTGGGTATGTATACTTTTTCGAAAAAAAAACATAGTGTTTTTTCAGTGTTGTCACAGGCTTTATAATGATTCTTTTTAATGATTCCTTTATGTTCCATCGAGAGGGTACAGAATCATTTTTCTATCATCCTGTATTAGATATTGAGATTGATTCCTTTTCCGGTCCCCCAATACCTTTTATTTTTTCTTTTTTGCAAGGGGAGGGCAGGAAACACGCCCTTTCATGAAACTTGTACTTATTTTCTTACGGGTATCTCCTCAGAGTAAATTCCCAGGGCATTTTTTGGTCACATGTAAGTTTGGTTTCGTTGCCCAGTAAAGGACATCTTGAATAAAACGTGAGTCATTCGAATCACTTTAGAGATAACCTCGAATAGGGACATTGAGCATACAGTGACTTTTTATTCTCCCCTTTCTCTCTTTGCTACATGGAGAAGGTATGGGGAGAGCAGCTCCCCTCCCCAACCCCAGGAACTCAGGAATGTCTGGCATTAGCGGGCAGTGAAGCTAGCCTAGAGCCCCTTGGGCTTTCTGAGAGGCAGGACAAAGGAAGCCAGGGATTTGAGGTGGCCAAGAGCAGACCCGGAGGGAAAGCGCTGAGCTGATGTTGTTTTCCTAAGCCATGCATTTCTGAGACCAAGGTATTTACTGCCCCATGGGGTGAAGGCCTGTGCAAGTTCATGTGAGCTAGCTTGTGAGATGTCCAGAGTTTTCTGAAAACCTATGTTTCTAGGGAAACAGGGAAAGGTTGGGGTTGGGTTGGGTAGAAACCCATCTGTCCATTCTGATGAGGCCTTTTGCAGATATACTTCTACTGGCTGTGCCGGGACACACACGCCTTTGAGTGGTTTGCAGACTTGCTGCAGCTTCTAGAGACCCAGATGCAGGAGAGGAACAACGCCGGCTTCCTCAGCTATAACATCTATCTCACGGGCTGGGATGAGTCTCAGGTGAGGGCGAAAGCTGAGATCTCGCATCCTTCCCACAGTTCCCCGGGGCAGACCAACTTCCCTTCGGTTACTGGAGTGTTCCATATTCCGTTCTTACCAAGAACAGTTGGTGGAGTTGGGAGATCCAGCCCGTCCGCTCTCATTCAGTGTTCACATATGTTCAGACTCTTGAGACTAGATTCAAAGCTGGAATCTGTGGAACAGATCAAAGCTAGGGAGCCCAAAGGGAATAAGAGCCGTGACTTTGACCTTCTTAGAGTCATGCTTTTTCCAAGGGCCTCGAACCACCTGGACAAGATGATCCACAGGGTAATGGGAAGAAAATATTAGCTGTCTTTCTCCCTTTCTTTATGCCTATCTCTACCTCCATCTTTATATCTGTACACACATACATATTCCTTTAATTTTATGTTCATGTCTATTTTACAATACACACAATACATTTAGTAAATAGTAATAATAAGTGCTCATAGTTATTAAGCATATCCCATGTGCTAGGTATTTTTATTAGTGATTACATAGATTGTCAAATTCAGTCCTTACAACAGCCTTATGAAGTAGCTAGTATTATTCTCCACACTTTACTGACAAGGAAAGCAAAGCCCAGAACAGGTTAAGTCATTTGTCCAAGGGCACCCAACTAGTAAGAGACAGAGGCAGAATGTTCCAGAGTCTGCACTCTTAGCAACTCCTACTAGTTCATGATTATCATTTATCAATAAATCAAAATATATTTAATGAAGGTGATATATGTGTGCATATGTATATAGCATATATGTCTGTGTGTGTAATATAACATATAATGAATAAAACATAACACATTATATATGTATGTGTGTGTGTGTAGCTCCCGTGTTAACAATGAAAACATTCTACAATTTATAATACAGCTCACCCACAACAAAGAATTATCTGGTCTCAAATGTCAAAAGTGCTGAAATTGAGAAACTCTGAAACAAGTTAATGATTCCTAAGGGGTAAAATCTTTCTTTTTTTTTTAAAGATTTTATTTATTTATTTGAGATAGAGAGCACAAGCCAAAGGGAGAGGCAGAAGGAGAAGCAGACTCCCTGCCAAGCAGGGAGCCTAATGCTGGGACCCTGGGATCATGACCTGAGCCAAAGGCAGATGCTTAACTGACTGAGCTACCCAGGTGCCCCTAAACTCTTTCTAAATAAGCAAACATCAATGACTTGGCCTGGAAGCAACAGAAGCAGCAGAAGCAGCATGAGCTCACCCTGCATAAGGAGCTAAGACAAGAGTTTTTGCCTGTCCCTGGCTGGTGTCAGGGAGAAAGGTGGCCATAGCCACAAATTGTCTCCTCCCTCCTGGGTAACTTTCACAAGCACCTTGGATTGTGAAAACTGACCCTTCATTTGGGTTTTGGCATATTGTTTATCATCAATCCTCCAAGTCTTAGAAGAGTCTTGTTGCAATTTTAGATCTGGGAACACATGACCGTGAACATTGTTGCTCCAGAAAAAAGGATTTCAAATGCCATTTCTGCAATTTAAAAACAAAACAAACCAGCAAATATTTGATAAAAAATGAAACCCAGGGGGAAAAAATCTATAATGTATAAATTACTTTGCAGTTTTATTATTTAAAAAACCAGACACAGTTTTTTAGATGAGAAATTTATTTGCATTGCAAAATAACTATTTTGCTTTACAAAATTAGTCCCTATAGGATTATTAAACCACAGTAGTCACCCTTCTTAACCTCCTCCATCCCCATCAACCATCCCCTGTCCGGTGAATTTAAAATCTGATTCAAGTTTTAAATAAATTTAATTAACCACTTTTATGAAAAATATCTGTTGTTCGAACTGAGACCCCGTAGAATGGTAGCAGAAAACAACAGGTGACTATGTACACACACACACACACACACACACACACACACACACACACTAGCATTAGGCTTGATTTGTTGTCTCATTATGTTGCCAAGATATGAGTGCATTTTAGTCTGTGGTTGTTTTAGTTCTTAGCAATTCTCCTAAAGGAGTGGGAGTCTATTAGGGTCAAGAGAGAAAGTCACATGTAGAACAGGGAGAAAAACAGAATTTAAATCCTACCCACACCTTCAATGCTCGATGCCAAGTGCTTCCAACCTCGTGTCCTATATCCATCCCATCCCACCTCCCTCCTTCGCTCTCACTGAGCTATTTGTACCTCTCCCGTGGCACTCGTGATACCATGTTCTGCAAAAAGGATTATTCATGCTCACACTTCAAGGTCTGCCCTTCTAGACTGTAATTTCCCTGAGGAGACCCAGTTTGTTCATCTTTGTGTACCTTCTAGCCCTCAAATATATATATGGTTAGAAAGGGTAGTGAGAACTTGGCTTGTGAGATACGTAAATATAGCTGTGTTTTCCTTACAGCCTGTCTCTTTTTTGTGAATTCATGTCCTTTCCCACAGGCCGATCACTTTGCTGTGCACCATGACGAGGAGAAAGATGTGATCACAGGCCTGAAACAAAAGACCTTGTATGGACGACCCAACTGGGATAATGAATTCAAGACAATCGCGAGTCAACACCCAAAGTAAGGAGCTGGGTGATCTAGCCCATTTGCTCTCACCGAAAGAGGGAGCTCCCAAACACAGCTAGATTTGTATATTCTGAAAACTAAAATACCTAGATTACTGTATTCACACCCAATAAAAGTTTCCAGATACATATGACTTTACAAGGGAGGCTTTAGAGCACACCAAAATTACCTGGATTATAATTATAATAAGTAATTATAATAATTACTTATTATAAACAAAGATGCTGCGGGGGGGCTCACGTCTGCCTTTCTGAACCCTCCCAAGTGAGGCCATAACTTAGCTCTTTTCTTTTGGCTCCTAAATCTCACTGGTGTATCTACTTCTTTTCATTCAATATGATTTAGACTTTTATCATTAAGGAGATATGGTGCCCACTTTCAGTTTTAGTTTTGGGGTCTAAAATCATAAGTTGCCAGACATCCTAAGGTCCTTTCTGCCTTCATTAAAGCTGTACCCATTCTGGAAGTTTGAGGAGATCCTCTATCTTTCTAGAACACATGATAAACTCAAGAAATCACCACAAATATACCCTTCACACCTTTGCTTTTTATCTTTTAATGAGTCTATGAATCATTTGGGTATCTTTTCACAAGGCAGATGCTGACTGACTGGGTCTGGGGTGGGACATGAGATTTTACATTCTTTTTTAAAAAGATTTTATTTATTTATTTGACACACAAAGTGGGGGGGGAGGGAGAGAGAGTGAGAGAGCATGAGCAGGGGGAAGGACAGAGGGAGAGGGAGAAGAAGACTCCCCACCTAGTGGGGCCCTATCCCAGGACCCTGAGATCATGACCTGAGCCAAAGGCAGATGCTTAGCCGACTGAGCCACCCAGGCGCCCTGAGAATCTACATTCTTAAAAAGCTGACTAGGAAGCTACTGGTCTGGGACCACACCTTGAGGAACTAGGCTTTAGAGTCTAAAACAGAGAAGGATAAAGCCGCACCCAGCTGTCGGCAGAGTCGTTATGGAGCCCCGAAGGGAACCAGTCCACAAACATCACTTCACCACCATTTTTTTCTGCGGCAGACGTCCCCACTAGAGCCTAAAATCAAGAGGAAATCCCTTCACGTGCTTTGTAGTCTGTCTCATCCAAAAGCCTGACACTGTTTTATTTTTCCTTTCTTTCCCCCGAAGTACCAGAATAGGAGTTTTCCTCTGCGGACCTGAAGCTTTAGCTGAAACCCTCAGTAAACAGTGCATCTCCAACTCTGAGTCTGGCCCCCGGGGAGTGCATTTCATTTTCAACAAGGAAAACTTCTAACTGCTGTCTTCTCGTGAGATCAGTGTGGGTTATGCCGCCAAGTACCTAACCCAATAATGCTAGCTGATCATGTAAGTCCCCCCCCCCATCCTTAAAAAAAGAGAGAAAATGAAGCTATAAGGGAAGGTTTTCCCTGAAAGGAATGTTAAAGCTCGTTTGATAGTGATAATTCGCATTCGTATGGGGCTTTATGGTTTTCAGAGCACTTTTACAAACTTGATTTCATGTTTCACTCACAATAATACCAGAGAAAGGTAGGGCAAGGGTTCCTGGACTCAGTGTTTAGGATTAAAAAAAAATAGGGACTCAAAATGGGGAAGTAACTTCCCAAAGATTCTGAAGCATGGACCACATCTAGTCCACGCAGCCCCAGGTTTGGGGGTCTTTCTGTGATACCAGGTCGCCTGGAGATAGGCACATGTACTCCCCAAAAGAAGCAACAATCCAGGGAGTGGCCATTCATTTTCCGTCTTGTGTTACCTTTGTAATCATTGTCGTCATAGTGAATGAAATCTTCCAAATATTTAGGAGATAATATATGCCAAGAAGGATTGAACACTTAAGAGTGACAGGATGGCCATCTGAGCATTTACAAGGATGTTTGGCAGAGTGGATACTCAGTGAAAGTTTACTGAATGAATGAATGAATGAAAAGACATTTAGAACCATATAAGGCCCAAGTAGAAATAATTTAAAGTCTTAAACTAAGAATTGTGCCAAAGATTTATCCGATATGCCCAGCTGCTTTAAAATAGCACCTACCCCTTGTTTTATTTAAATACACACACAAAATGGCTCTTACTTGTGTGAATACTGGTTTATTTTTACATCATCTTCATCATCATCATCATCATCATCATCAAATTTATGTCCTAGAAGCCAAAATCCCCAGCTTACTGTGTGTTGAATTCACACCCCGTAGAATGTTCTAGATATGCATGAGTTCAAGAGAGAGTCTCTAAATCACTGTTAGTGTGACCAGGAATAGGGTTTTTTGTTTTTTGTTTTTCTTGGAACTGCTCTTATTTCTGGAAACTAAAAATAGCTTTACTTCCCCCACCCTGTGGAGCCACAGATATTTAGAACTACTTAACCTTGGTAATGAGGAAGAAAGAAGAAAGCTGGGGGACGGGCACATGACTGGGTTAGGAGAAAAGGGGAGGACAGGGGGGAAAGAGAACAGGAGGAAGGTGATTGAAAGCGAAAAAGACAAAAGGGACAGGGAGGGTTGGGGGGGTCTCACACTAGTCACATTCCACCCCAGATTCCATAGTAATCAACATAACATGAGCATGTGGTATTGAACCTGAGGTTCTGGCTGCAAATTTTGATGCTGGGTGGGCATATTCAGAAGACCAGGATACAGTAGTAAGAACTTGGTTGTTCCTTTGGGCAAACTCCCCGGATGTGCAGGTCACTGCAGGTCCTTCCTGACAAGTCAGGCTTGCCGTGGACATGTTGCCTCCCCAAAACATCCCAGCAAAGCTTTTACTCAGAGAAACTTAGGTCTAGCCTGTTCACACTGCAGCCAGGTATCAGTTCATTCATTCAGCAGATTTTCATTGTGTTATTACTCTGACACAGGCTCTGGTCCTCACAGACTCAGTTCTTTCCACCAGAGTGAGATCAAGAGGGGGAACCACAATTCTAGGCGTCTGAGAACCTTGGCCCTCTCTCCCCTCCATGGTCCATTTGTGCTCTGAAATTGTGTCTCCAGGGTTGTTTGTTTGTTTGTTTGTTTTTTAAACTGGATACCAACAGAGTTACCGGAACAGAGAGCGCTGTCCTGTGTTACCCTGCTTGTCATCCATCCTTCTCCCAAGCCGCCGGCTGCCAGCTGCCCGCAGATCTCTTCCGGTTTCTAGTACTTAGCATTTAGTAATATGTACTGAGAGCATGATTAAGCATTGTTTTATCTCAGCACTATGAAGGCTTTTCTTAGTTCCCCTGCTTTTGCAATATTGCATTTATGAAATTTGAATACTTGTAGTTGTTGTATTTGGATAGTGGGGGGTGGGTGGGGCCCGGGGAGATGATTCCTAGGAAGAATTAATAAAGTTGTGCTTGACTGTTAAAATGAATGAGCTCTCTTGGTGTCTGTGTTATTGATCTTCTTAGTATTAAAAGGGTGGATTCACACAGCAGAGATGGGCTCTGCCCCAGTGGGGCTGAGATTCTCTGTGTTTTTGCATGCGATGGGCCAAACGTGTCACTGTTTAGGGGCTGGGAAGGGAAAACTAAGTACCGAGTTTGGTGCTCATGGCCTGGTGACCCTCACGGCACTGGGAGGAGACAAGAGTGTCACCTCATGTTGTGGACAGAATCTCAGAGGCAAAGAAGATCTTGTATGAGACCTCTTTCTTTCACTTTCACTCGTTTTGTAGGCTCTAACTTTGCAGTTAGGTGTCAGCAAATCAGACTGTGAATATACCCGTATGCTCACGGTTCGGTCTTGGCCGTTGTTCTGAATGAGTCATCAGTTAGGATCTGCACGGTCTGGGAAATGGGTAGACGTGCGGGCATGTGTTCTTCTGGGGGGTCGGCAAGAGCTGCCAGTGGAGCAGAGGCCAGCACCCGAAACAAATGTCTGTAACACAGTTAGCTAACATTTAGCAAAACATCCTCGTCTAAGCCAAACAAATGATAGGCACAAGCCATCTCACAACTACTGTGGAACTGTGTCAACATTAATGCACACCTTTCTGGTAAAAAAAAAAAAAAAAAAAGTCCATGTTCTTTCTACCACACGAGCAGATTCACCAAAGTGTGAGTAACCTAGGATATTTTCAAAGCTATTGTGCTAGGTACAGGTTATGCACTCTCACCGTAACAGCGGTGGTATAATCCTCCGGTTTATGCCGGAGGATTGGTGCCTGTCTCTCTGCCTCTCCCCCTGCTTGTGCTCTCTCTGTCGAATGAATAAAATAATGAACGAATAAAATCTATAAAAAATAAATCTTGTCTCTTAGTTTAGAAACACTAGCTAACCCAATCCATGCTTATTTTTACTTTTATTTGTTTATATTTATTTGTAATGTTTCTTCAGCTTTAATGAGATATAATTGACCAATAAAATTGTAAGATATTTAAAGCATTACAACGTGATTATTCACCAAATGATGTTTTTCCAAAGAACAACTTTTACCTATATAACCACAAGGCAATGAACAAATCCAAGAAATTTAACACTGATACAGAACTATCATGTACTCTGTCATCTACATACAGGTGACTTTGTATCCTCAGTGCGTTGCATTGGGGTAAGTACTCTCAGTTTGTCCTGTTTTTGGTGGTATTAAGTTTGATCACCAGATTTCTCTGTTATATATGTAAAGGTTTCATTTTACTTTTGTAGCTAGTAAGTCACATTTGGGGAATACTCCGTGGCCATATGAATCTCATTTTCTCCAACAGCCTTTTACCCAGACATTTTAGCATACACTAATGAAATTTCACTGAATCAATTCTTATAATGTTGGTTACAAAAGAGCTGGATTCTTAAACCTCAGTAATCTGTACGATGTACAAAGGGTTGATTTAATATGTTCATATTTTGCAAAATGATTACCACCATATCATTAGCTTAACACCTCTGTCCTGTCACCTAATTACCATTGATGTTTGGGGTGAGAACATTTTAGATTTAGTCTCTTAGCAACATTCAAGTATATAATACGGTATGATTAGCCATAATCCCATTCCGTACCTTAGATCCCCAGAACTTGTTCATCTCCTAACTGTAAATCTAATACTATGTTGAACAAGAGTGGTGAGAGTGGGCATCCTTGTCGTGTTCCTGATCTCAACGGGAAGGCTGCAAGCTTTTTCCCATTGAGGATGATATTTGCTGTGGGTTTTTCATAGATAGATTTGATGAAGTTCAGGAATGTTCCCTCTATCCCTATACTTTGAAGCGTTTTAATCAGGAACGGATGCTGGATTTTGTCAAATGCTTTTTCTGCATCAATTGAGAGGACCATATGGTTCTTCTCTCTTTTCTTATTAATTTGTTCTATCACATTGATTGATTTACGAATGTTGAACCATCCTTGTAGCCCAGGAATGAATCCCACCTGGTCATGGTGGATAATCTTTTTAATGTGCTGTTGGATCCTGTTTGCTAGGATCTTGTTGAGAATCTTAGCATCCATATTCATCAGTGATATTGGTCTGAAATTCTCCTTTTTGGTAGGGTCTTTGCCTGGTTTGGGGATCAGGGTAATGCTGGCTTCATAGAAAGAGTCTGGAAGTTTTCCTTCTGCTTCAATTTTTTGAAACAGCTTCAGGAGAAGAGGTGTTATTTCTTCTTTGAAAGTTTGGTAGAATTCCCCAGGGAATCCGTCAGGTCCTGGGCTCTTGTTTTTTGGGAGGTTTTTGATCACTGCTTCAATCTCGTTACTAGATATCGGTCTATTTAGGTTGTCGATTTCTTCCTGGTTCAATTTTGGGAGTTTACAGTTTTCCAGGAATGCATCCATTTCATCTAGGTTGCTTAGCTTATTGGCATATAACTGTTGATAATAACTTCTGATGATTGTTTCTACTTCCTTGGTGTTAGTTGTGACCTCTCCCTTTTCATTCATAATTTTATGAATTGGGCTTTCTCTCTTTTCTTTTGGATTAGTGTGGCCAATGGTTTATCGATCTTATTGATTCTTTCAAAAAACCAGCTTCTAGTTTCATTGATATGTTCTACTGTATCTCTGGTTTCTACCTCATTGATCTCAGCTCTAATCTTGATTATTTCCCTTCTTATGTGTGGAGTTGGTTTGATTTGTTGTTGATTCTCCAGTTCTTTAAGGTGTAGAGACAGCTGGTGTGTTCTGGATTTTTCAATTGTTTTGAGGGAGGCTTGGATGGCTATGTATTTCCCCCTTAGGACTGCATTTGCTGTATCCCATAGGTTTTGGACCGAAGTGTCTTCATTCTCATTGGTTTCCATGAATTGTTTCAGTTCTTCTTTGATCTCCTGGTTGATCCTGTAAATCTGTATACTTTGACCAATAGCTCTCAATGTCCTCCACACTCCCGTGCCTGGTAGCCACCGCATTACTCTGTTTCCGAGTTCAACTTTGATAGATTCCACATACATGTGAAATCACACAGTATTTGTCTTTCTTTGTTGGACTTAGTTCACTTAGCATTATGCCCTCAAGTTTCATCCAGGTTGCCACAAATGGCAGAAGTTCTTTCTTTTTCATGGCTGAGTAATATTCCGTTTTATATTTATAAATCATCTTCTTTATCCATCCACCTGTTGCAGGGCACTTAGGCTGTTCCACATCTTGGCTCTTGTGAAATAATACTGCAGGGAACATGGGAGTGCAGGTATCCCTATGAGATACTAATTCCAAGTCTTTTCCATATGTACCCAGAAGTGGGATTACTGGATTGTAAGATAGTTCTTGTTATAGTTTTTAATTTTTCAAGGAACCTACATATTGTTATTATAGTGGCTGCACCAATTTATATTTCCACCAACACTGCACAAGGGGTCCCTTTTCTCCACATTCTTGCCAACACTTGTTATCTTTTATCTTTTTGATACTAGCCATTCTAACAGGTTTGAGATGGTAGCTCATGTGGTTTTGATTTGCATTTCCCTGATGATGAGTGATGTTGGGTACTTTTTAGTGTACCTGTTGGCCGTTTGTATGTCTTCCTTAGAAAGCTGTCTGTGTAATTCCTCTACCCAATTTTTAATTGGATGGCTCGATTTTGCTACTGAGTTGTAAGAGTTCTTCATATGTTTTGGATATTAACCCCTTATCCAATGTATGATTTGCAAACATCTTACCCCATTCAGTAGGTTGCCTTTTCATGCTGTTTGTTGGTTACTTCACTGTGCAGAAGCTTTTTGGTTTGCAGTCCTAGTAATTAATTTTTGCTTTCATTGTTTGTGGTTTTGGTGTCATATGCAGGAAATCACCGCCAAGACCAATGTCAAGGAGTTTTCTTCTCATGTTTTCCTGTGGGAGTTTTATGGTTTCAGACCTTATGTTTAAGTCTTTAATCCATTACAAGTTCATCTTTGTGAGTGGTGTAATACAGAAGAATTTCATTCTTCTCATGTGGTTATCCAGTTTTTCTAGCACCACTTATTGAAGAGACTATCTTTTCCCCTTATTAAGTAGTCTTGGCTCCCTTGCCAAATATTAGTTGAGCACGTATGTGGAGATTTATCTCTGGACTCTCAATTCTGTTCCATTGGTCCATGTGTCTGTTTTTATGCCAGCACCATACTGTTTTGATTACTATAACTTTGTAGTATAGTTTGCCTCTGGCTTTGTTCTTTCTTAGGATTGCTTTGGCCATTCAGGGTCTTTTGTGGCTCCATACAAATTTAAGAATAGTTTATTCTAATCACTTCTCGGCCTTTTGGCTAAGATCACGTGTAAGAATAGTTTATTCTATTTCTATGAAAAATGTCATTTCCATTTTGATAGGGATTGCATTGAATATATAGATGGTTTTGGGTAATATGGATATTTTAATGATATTAATTCTCTTGATGCAGAATATGAGATATCTTTCCATTCATTTTTATCTTTTTCATTTTCTTTGATCCAATTCTTGTAGTTGTCAGTGTACAGATATTTTATCACCTTGGTTAAATTTATTCCTAAGTGTTTTATTATTTTTGATGCTATCATGAATGGAATTGTTTATTTCTTTTTTTAGGTGTCTTTTTTAAGGTATAAGAAGTAAAAAGGACCACAAACTTTATTAAACATAAGTAAAGG